AAAAAAAAAAAAAAGCAAGAATGAATGTTGAATTTTTAAAATGCTTTTCCTGCATCTACCATGGTGACCAGGTGCTTGTCTACTGATCCCTCTGGAGGCAGATGAGTCTGTGTTTCTGGGGTAGGCCCAAGGTGGCCGTCATCCTCTTTGTATCATGCTAGATGAGTTTATGTTTGGTGTGGGATTTTGACAGGGGTCTTGGTGGGTGATTCTGTTCCACACTGTTCCTTTCTTCTGTCTATGCTGGATTTTGGTATCAAAATCATAACATGAATATTATGCAGAACTTGCCAGTGGAGCTGTTTGGGCCTGGAGGTTTTTTTGGGGGGAGTATTTTAAAATTATAGCTCAATTTCTTCAATAGCTATGGGACTTTCTAGTTTTCCTTTCTTCTAGATTGGTTTTTCTGTTTTGTTTTTTTCCATATTGGCATAAAGTTGTTCAAATATTCTTTTGTTTTCTTTGTATCTAGCATTTGTGGGATGCCCCCCACACCCTTTTTTTTTTTTTGAGGGGACAGGGTCTCGCTGTCACCCAGGCTGGAGTGCAGTGCCTTACCACAGACTCGACCTTTTGGGATCAAGCAGGCCTGCCACCTCACACACGCCAGCAGCCCTGGCTAACTAAAAAAAAATTTTTTTGTAGGCCCAGTTTGGTGACTCACACCTGTAATCTCAATACTCCGGTAAGCCAAGGTGGGAGGATCACTGGGGTCCAGTAGTTCTAGATCAGCCTGGGCAACACAGTGAGATCTGATCTACACTACACACATTTGTAGATCCAGAGTCATGTAGAGCCAGTTGTGTGGCCAGGCTGGTCTTAAACTCCGGGCCTCAAGCAAGGCTCCCTCCTTGGCCTCTCAAAGCCAAAGATTACAGGCGTGAGGTACTGTGCCTGGCATCATTTGCTGCTTGCATTATCATTTCTTCTTTGACCCACGAGTTATGCAGAAGTGTATTTCTTAATTTCCAAACGTGGTAGTTTTCTAGTTATTTTTAAAATTACTGATTTCTTTTTTATTGCATTATACCCAGGAAACTTGGCCCTTATCAGATCAGATTTTGGAAACTTGATCCGTGGCCAGCTTGTGATCAGCTTTCGTAACCGTGGAGTGCTTGAAAACACTGTGCTCTCTGCAGGTGGTGGAACCAGTGTTTGCACAGATCCATCAGATAAAACGTGTACGTCGTGTGCTCATTCTGCATCCTGCTGACCTGCCACTCCCTGAGGGAGGTGTTAGAATCCGCTGACAACAGACTCATCTGTTCCTCCTGTAGCTTTGCCAGTTCTGGAGTCGTGGTTTTAGGGGCACAGGACATGAGGTTCGTCTCTTCATTCTGGGAAACTGAATCTCTTATCGCGCTGAACTCACACTTTGTCTCCAGCATTGCGCGTTGCCTTGGTGTCTGCTTCGTTTATTACACGGTGATGCTAACTTTCTTTTATTTAGTGTTTGCCTCACATGTTGTTTTTCCTCCTGTTACTTTCAGCTTTTTTATCCGTAATGATTTAGACGTGTTTCTTGTGGACGCCCCCGGACAGGTTTTTCGCGTACTTGTTTGCCGTCTCGAATGAGAGCGTTTGGCTGCTGGGCAGGTCCTGCGGCGCGTTGTTTGGGTTTGTTTACTTCACCCTGCTCTTGGTCTCTCACTTCTTGTCTGTTTGTTTCCTCTGGTTTTTGCTCTTCTTGTGGTTTATGTTCTTTGTCATTTAGCTTTTTGCCATTTACTAGCTGTTGGTGGTCGCCTTAGCAGCATAGCGGGTGTTTCTAGCCCTCTGGGTTTGAGGTTAATCAGAGTCACGACCTTCCTCCCAAACAACGTGTGATGGTGAATTCTCTAGTGTCCGCTTGGCTGGGCCCTGGTACCCTCGTTTGGTCCAACTCCAGTCTGGATGTTTCTGTGAAGGTATTTTTTATGTGTGATTAACATTTAAATCAGTAGATGTTGGGTACAGGAGATCTCCCACCACAGTGTGAGTGGGCCTTACCCAGTCAGTCGAAGGCCACAAGCGCAAAGGAAGAGGGGATTCTGACCCAGATGGAGACTCGAGCTGCAGCACCAGCTCCTGCTGGGATCTCCAGCCTGCTGACCTGGACTTCAGATTTTAGACTTAGCTCCCTCAGTCCCATGAGCCAGTTCATTAAAATCAGTGTCTGTCATCTACCTGTGTCTCTGCGTCGCTCCGTCTTTCTCTGTATCTTCCCCTAAATATGTGTAATCTCACTCTCTTGCTCGCTCTCTCTGTACACACACATCCTGCTGGTTCTGCCTCTCTAGGGGCCCTGATGGCTGCGCAGCGTGAGGACTTCAGGGCCCCGTCACTTTGGCTGTCGTTTTCCCCCTGGTCTATGGTTAGCCCCTGTATTTGCGGGCTTCACATCAGATTCAACCATAAAAATAACAATACAACAGTAGGCCGGGCGCGGTGGCTCAAGCCTGTAATCCCAGCACTTTGGGAGGCCGAGACGGGCGGATCACGAGGTCAGGAGATCGAGACCATCCTGGCTAA